AGCATTCTATGTTAACTGGCAATAATTGGAAAAACTGAAGCAGATTCATATGTTTAAATATGTATATGTATGTTCACATATGCATATTTTCAGATTTTAGTCTCACACATTTATATCTTCATTCTATTTTGCTTTCTAATAAATTCTCTTGCAAGTCATGGCATGTACTCCTAGTACTTCTACTTCAGTTACTTCACCAATCTCCAAACATTATTTATGTGATATTCATTAATTTGTGTTTTAAGCACTTGTATCATTGGCCAAAATATTTATTTGAAAATGTCAGGGAAAGATGTTTAGTCATGTTCTGTCAGTTACCCATTCATTACATCATTTTTCACCATTGTTTGTCACTTGGTACATCTTGTGGTTCTCTATGCAGGCTCCCAAGGCAGTCTATTTCAGCTCCTAGTGCTGTACATATCTTTATCTTCTGGATGAGACTGCCCGTGATCCATGAGCTTGGGGTCAGGTATAAACTGTGTAGTGCCTGATAAAGTATTAAAGTGAAAAAGAATACATTTATATTTGGTGTTGGGAATATAGCAGTAAACAAATCATAAAATCTCTTCAATATGAGCCTAGCATGGTTGAGACAGACAATGTAATTGAAATGCACAGCACATCCTATGGTGGTTAGGTGCAGCACAGAACACAAAATCAAGGAAGGACACATGAAGTGTCTAGGTAATTTCCAGTTTTAAATAATGTTGCTTAGAAAGGGTTTTTAGAAAGTTGATATTTGAGCAAAGACTTGAGGGAGATGCAGACATGTGTTCTGTAGATATCTGTGAGATGTGACTTCCAGGATAAGCTGAAGGCAAGGAAATTTGAGGACCCAGTACAACATGGCTGGGATACAGTAGACAAACAGGTGTCATTGACTGAAAGAAGAGGAGCTCAAGCTAGCTCAGAGTCACCTTTTAGTTTAAGTTGATATGCATATCAACTTAACTATGCACTTAACAAGTGGCATAGTTGTGTTTAATAAGAGAAATTTTACCTAATAAAAAAGACTATATAGAGAGGAACAAAGATAAGTCAGCATAGATGATAAGAAACCATTGAATTTCTCCCTGAAGGCCTTCATGGTGACAGTTATGAGAATTGTGACAAAGGACTCTAAATAATTCTGAAAATAAAATGAACAGGATTACCTAAAGGGACTGACTGTTTAACTTGAGAAAATAGAAAAACTGAGGTGACATTTATTGAGGCACGAAAAAATGTAATACAAGTAGATTTGGGGGAAGTAAATGAAATGTTAACTTTGGAATATGATGAATCTTAATTACTTACCCAACATATGAGTAGAAATACTGGGTAGGCAGCTAGAAATGTGTCAGTACAGTTCACAGGAGGACTTGACTGGTTTATAGCACTTACAGCTATATAGCATTTAAAACCATGGAACTTAGTAGCATTATCTAAGTACAAAAAGGGAACTCTTTGGGATGCTGTAACCTTTTCAGGTTAAGATTAAGATACTATAACAGAGATATTAACAAGAAGAACCAAGAGTGAGTGATATCTTATGGACCAAGTGAAGTTACTGTTTCAAAGTTGAAGGAGTTTAAACTGTATTCATGGTTACTGATGGATTTCATGTGCTTACATTTGAAAACTGATTCCTAGATTTGGTAATGTGACTAATAGTTACCCGGACAAGCTAATTGTGTGCTATGCAAGATGTAGCTCAATACACCACACATGTGGTGATATAAGTTACCTAAGCTAACTAGTTCATGTACACACATAGCTGTGTTTCCACAATGGTGAAATCATTTAATGGCACATTCATTAGAATTTATCCCTGGCATTAAGCAACAAATGACTACATTGTTCACATTTGACAGATAAATAAGATTTTAATTTAGAGAGATTAATTTGATTACTATCACATAGCTGCTAATTGGGAAGCCAGACTGAATCCAGGCTTGTGGAGACTCCTAAAGATTCCTGGATTTTCTGAAAATGGGGGTTAGTAATGATATCACACACTTTTAGCATTAGATAAGATAATGGGATCAGCATGATGTATACACTACTTTATGAATGGTAAGTGGGCAAGAAACAACAAAATAGTAAAAACATTTATTGTTTAGAAAAGGAAGTTTACTGAGAAAAGGACAATGGTTAGGGCATCTAATCTTAAGATATCAAAAGCAATCAGTCATTTGTTCAACAACAAAGATTTAAATTTTCTAGTCTGTGAAAAGTAATCTACCAATTGTATTTTTCCCTTAATTTTTATGTCTGAATCATTTTTATAATTTTAAGGAGCCATACATTTTGCTCACAGAAGAATTTTATTAACAGCTTTATCATTAAAACAAATTGGAGAAATAAATGTGAACACAACGATTTATCTTATGCCTATATTTCCAGAAACATTTTTTAGTTTATGAAGTGTGACACATATATATGGTTTTATGACCAAATATATTTAAAAGTCTTAATCAGGTCATAAACACTACCCATGACATTAATACTGCTCTCATATGTTAGGGATTTTTTTAATCTGAGGCCCTTTTGGAGGTCTACGACAAGACTCAAGAGCTATCAAGTGAGATTAAGAAAATTTGTCTATATCATTACTAATCTTTAGAAAGTTGACATTTTATTCAGTAGTAAATGTAGGTGACAAACCACAAGAATATTGTTTACATTTTTATTGCCAAATGAAATCACAACGTTTTTATATTACCTTACAGATTATCTTAAGATATTTTCAAATGGCACTACTTGAAAATTATAGTAGGTTGATGTGGGGTGTCCTTCTGTATGCTATGAGTATGTGTTGCTTTTATTGGTTGACAAATAAAGCTGTTTTGGCCTATGGCAAGGCAGAATATAACCAGGAGGGAAATCCAAGCAGATATATGGAAAGAAAGAAGGTAGAGTCAGAGAGATGCCATGTAGTCTCTGAAGAAGATGCCAAAACATTACCAGTAAGCTACAGCCACATGGTGATACACACATTAGTAAAAATGGTTAAATTTAATTGTGAGAGCTAGTCAGTAATATCCCTAAGCCTGAACCATTGGCCAAACAATTATAATTAAATTAAGCCATTGAGTGTTCATTTGGGAACTGGCAAGCAAGAGAGAAAGACCTCCATTTACATATGGTGCCAACATGAGACACATACAACCTGAGAAAGCTTTAAAAAAATATTCTAAGACACAAAGAAACACAGAGTCAGAAACAGGTTCTTGGTAACCACACTATTTTAAAAAAATCAGATAGGCTCTGTTTTCTGGCAGTGAGCAGATGTGTGGCTCCTTTAAGAGATAGCTTCCTGGTTCATGCTGGAGGCATGCAAGGATAGTTTGGGAGGTCCTGCTAAGGGCCACTTGAATGGGGTTTGTGGACAGCATGTTGCAAGCTACTTGGCAGATTCAGCTTTTGCTCATACAAATAAAAAGAAAAGTTTGTGGGCCTGCTGCATGCTACCTAATGGCAGCATTGGGGGGGGGGGTAAGTATGACACTCATTGCTACCTCCACCATGTTGGAAAGCAGATCAGGGCAGAGCCAACAGCCAAAGCCACTGCTTTGGTCCAGCTACACCTGCTTCTAATTTTAAAAACCCTCCTAGTTAGAAAAGATTACAAATACACAAGAAGAACAAAATCAGGAAAAAAAAAAAAAGATCTCTAAACGGGTCACAGTATATTCAATAAATATGCATGGACTTGGGAAAGTGAGGATATAAGATAGAGTCATAAATAAAAAGAACAATTTAAGGATAATAAACTGAGGTCCTCAAAGGACAAATAGAGTATATGTATGTATGTATGTATGTATGTATGTATGTATGTATAATATTGGGCCATATAAAGAAGACAGAAAATACACAGAAGGTCTGGATTATGTATATTACTGTTTTCTTTTAATTTTCTGACTGTTAATGAAACATTAACTGCAGAAGAGACATTTGATAGTGGGAGCTGCTAAGCTAAACCAACATATATATTTTAAAAGAATCTTGACTTCAAAATTTGGGTCTAATGATACGCTACTTTGGAAAAGAGGTTCTGTTTTTGTTTCCATGGAAGATGAGAAGCTGTGGATTCCTTCCAGGCTATTATGGTACGATCAAACAGGACCCCCTGAAACAATGGCCTAGCTGATACAACATCCAAAACAGCTACAGGACTGATGGTTGAGATGGATCAACCACACAGTATCCTGGTCAATCAGGACTTGACCATATTCTAAATTTTCTCAGGGTTCCCATAAGATCACTGGACCCAACAATATGCAGAAAGTAGTATAAGAAACTACACACAAATTCCCAAAATAATTAATTATAAATGTTCATTTTCATTTAAAGAGGATTGGTTATAAATGGATAATTTCCATAATCTTTCTAAAGAAAACAGGGGGATATGATTAAGAAATGATGGAAAGAAGGGTAGATCATTATGATAATAAAAAGGGATAGATTATTAAATCTACTTTAATCAAAAAAAAAACTGTTAATTTCAAGATACTTTACAATGGCATGGATTTTGGTTTATTGATGCAACTATAAGGTTAATTTTGTTATACTGTATGCATATTTCTACTCTCGTTTAAAGTATTATACTTATACAGCTCATTTAAAAATGTATAGTTATGAAATACAAGTTAATAGCCATCTATAATAGTCAAATTTTATTCATGTAAGGTTTTCTAGACATAAAGATGTATATTTCAGATGGACAGGTAATCATCAAACACTTCAAAGACCTATAGAATATGGCATTTACAATTTTTAAGAACTTAAGATTTTTCTCAACGAGATATGTTTGTTCCTGACCACACAAACTACTTCAAGATGATGGGCACCAAAGAAGCTCTTTATGGAGTTGGCCTTCAATGTGGCAAGACAAGCTATTTGGGCAAGAAAATTTTCTTTCCTGGACAGCTTGACTGTATGCTGCATAAACCTGACATGCAAGACCCACGGGAAAGTGACTACTGAACTTGCCAATACAAGATGGGATATTCCTTTAGGTTTTCTGCTTTTTGCAGAACACAGAGAAAAATGACTGACAAACTTCCAATATAGGCAGTTTCAAATTTCCTGTTTCATTGATAAGTCTGTCATACATTCTAGGCCTACAGGCAAAGAACGTTACAGAAGAACTTTGGGTGACTGACTGTCCAGGCAGCCAGATATCTCTGTCATTTCTGGAGTTTTGGAAGTTGCTTACAATGCACTTCTGGGGTAAGACAGATAACTATAATTATAGTTTTCCTTAGTTGTAGTAAGAGATAAATTAGATATAAAACTTTAGACTCACAAAGATAGATGATAGAGTATTTTCTTTAATTTTGCCAAATACAAATAGACTAAATATTGTAACTGGAATTCTTGCTTGATAACTGTTTTGTTGTATGTAATTTTACTATGATAAAGTTAAAAAAAAACTTTCTTTTTAATTAGACAGAAAGGGGAACATGATGTATGCTGTGAATATGTGTTGCCTTTATATGAATAAAGCTATTTCAGCCTATAGCAGGGCAAAATATACATAGGCGGAAAATCCAAAAAGAGATATGGAGACAAAGAAGGTGGAGTTAGGGAGATGCCATGGAGCCACAGAAGAATAAGTTGCCAAAATATCATTGGTAAGCCACAGCCACTTGGTGATACATACATTAGTAAAAATGGGTTAATTTAATTGTGAGAGCTAGTCAGTAAGAAACCTGAGCCATTGGCCAAACAATTATAATTAATATTAAGCCTCTGAGTGTTTCTTTGGGAACTGGTGGGAAGGAGAGAAAAACCTCCATCTATAGTAAGCATTAACTCTATTGCTCAATAATATTTTAACATATCTAAAAACAATCATATATTGACATATATAGTTAATTTTCATTTGAAAACCTTTTGAAAGGGGTCTAAACAGGAGTAAAGCAATACTATTGATTTTTGCACTTGTCAGCTTTAATCACATGCCTCTTCACTGCCACCTGGTGGCAGCCACTGCTCAATAATGAGAAAACTCTTTTTGAACTATTTTTTAATTCTTTGAAATTTTTAGTTTTGAGTACCATATTTTTAGTATTTCCATTCCCTCCTCCTCTAATTCTTCCCATGTAAACTCCACTCTCAACTTTATGACCTCTTCTTTAATTACTGGTACATACATACATACATACTTTTTCTATCTTCTTTGAGAAAAATTGTGGCTACATAAATTCTGGTTTAGATATATACAGAAATCTAAAGAAACTCTAAGAAAGCAATAACTCTTACTAACTTCAGAAATCTATCTTCTCTCTCTCTCTCTCTCTCTCTCTCTCACACACACACACACACACACACACACATAACAGAGTTCATTATTGCTCATATGCATATGTTTAGGGCTGACCACAAGGGATCAGATAATCTGTCATGGGGCTTGTCCCTGTAGAAAACAGGTTTTCCCTTTCTCAGTAGCCATTGATTGACTATTGTTTTTTATCTAGGGGTAGGAAGAATTTCATACATATGCACAATGATATATGAGAATTATGTGCCTCCCATTTCCCACCTCCACATCTTCCCAAACATGTCCCCAACTTCATATCATCCTCATCATTATTAATATCATTGTTATTATATATGGTTGTTTGTCTGCATGTATATCGGCATACCACATTCATGTCTGGTATCTACAAAAGCCAGAAGGCATGAGATCCCCTGTAAATGGAGTTACAGATAGTAACGAACTACCATGTGGGTGCTGGGAATCAAGCCTGGTTACTCTATAAGAGCAACCAATGCTCTCAACTGTTGGACAAACTCTCTAGCCCTTTTATTTATTTTTCATAAACCACTAAGTCCTGTTAATGCTTCCTATATGTGCATGTATGGATCCATCTAGTGAAGTATAAGAAACTTATCATCAGTAGCCTTCATAGATGTATATAATGTTTCTTAATCATTTCCATTCCTCCTCTCCCTTCACCTTCTCCTGGCCCTCACCCTGATATAACCCCTTCCCACTTCAAGTCCTCTCTCTCCCCCTCTTTCCATCTCTTCCCCCTTCCTTTCTTTCTTAAATAATCCACTGAATCCAATTAATGTTGCCTGTATGGACGTGGCTGTGGGGTTATCCACTGGGTCATGAGCAACCTGACAGTCAGTATCCATTCCTCCAAGAAAAGTTTTTAAGCAGAGATATTAGTAGGTACATGACAAGTAATATTATGTGTCTTCTGCTTTCAGATTTGCTTAACAGTGCATATAAATTACCTAAGTTCTCTAACACTTCTACTTACTCCCTTAATTTATATTCTTGTCCACAGTTTGATCAAAGACTTGGTTCACTCAAATTTCCTAAACTAGAAAGGTCCTTCTATCTTTAGAATACTAATTCTCAGAAATGCTTAAAATGTTGAACACAGAATTTTCTGCAGAACTTTTCCTATAATCTATCTGGATAGAGGCTTCACTCAGCACTGAAGAGGCTGAGATACAAGAACTTCCAGAAGTTCAAAGATAGTCTGGATTGCATATTGAGACCCTGTGTCAGGGTGTGTGTGTGTGTGTACATTGTGTGCATGAGAGAGAGAGAGAGAAGTTAACCCTTACACCAAACCATGTGAGAACTATTATTCTTTTGGGGGGGGGTGAGGAAGCTGAGTTGTGGATCGGGAAACTAAACCTAAATAATGATGGGTATTTTGTTCCAGGTAATAGAACTATTTAAATACTGGGCTTAGTATTTACCTTCAAGTCTTATCCTAAAACCCGTGATCATAATCATCACGTTTCCATATCACAGAACTTTGTGACTACATGTGAAATGGAGAACTGTTAATTCTATGGTTGAGATAATTGACACTCAAAGATATATTGTCACACTGAAACCCTAACCACCAATGTACTTGTATTAGGAGGCAAGACTTCTGGGAGATAATTGGGATTAGATGAGGTGATGAAGTCCTTATGAGTAGAATTTGTGCCCTATGAGATGACCTGACAATATGCTTGGTTCTCTTCTCTGCCATGTGAAGATAGAAGACACCAATTGTCTAGGAGCCAGAAGAGTGCCATCATATGATCCTGGCAATGCTGGCACCCAGGTCTTAGACTTCCCCTTCTTTTAAATGAAAGCAAAAGCATCTATGGTAGTCCTATCTATAGTAGAATGAACTAAGACATATATAATCATAAATATTACTGGTATCTCTGTCCCACTTCAAGTCTCCTTAGAAAAAGATCTTCATGTACCACATCATCCATGATAGGAAACATGTTCCCAATCATAGGTGGATAAGGATAAATGCTGGGTGGGAATGATCTGAATCCTATTTTAAACTGTATTTTGCTTCACCTTCACCAAGATACTTAGGAATTGACAGATATTTAGAAAAATGACTACATATATTATAACATTTGAAAATATGCTCAACTGTAGGTTACTCAGAGAAAGTCTCAAAGTTGTATAACTTAAATTGATTAGAAAGGAAGGACAGAAAAATATTCAAATCAGATTTTGCTATCTGGTGACAAATCTTGTCTTATATTATTATTATTATTATCATCTTTCTCTTTTGATACATGGTCTTAGTATGTAGCCCAGACTGGTGTAGTAACTCACTAGATAAGTAAGAGGCCACACTGGCTTCCAATTTCCAAGTTCTCTATTTCAGATTCCCAATTGTGTGGCTTACAGGCATTACCCATGGTCTACCACCAGATGGAGACTGAGAGAGGTATGTGAGAAAGAGGAAATTCAATGGGAAGAGGTTGAACTGTGACATCAGGAAGATAAACTAGAAATATGTCTATACTACTGATAAGTTGTACAAATGAAAATAAAAAGCTATTTACACTGTAGGAGCTTTCCATCATGAAATGGGAATAATTACCAATATATCAGAGGTGGGTTTTTGTTTTGAATTGTATTGCTGGTTGAATTCAAAACTTAGAAGCACTCTATATTATAGTATATGCTTTACAAAGGGTAGATCACAGGAATATTTCTACCTTCCCACCTCTAAACCTGGCTTATTTCCTTTGCAATGAGGCAGCTTATGGGTTGAAACATTCACAACATACAGAAAGGCATGTCTATACAAATCTGCAGCAGATGGGTTTTATGTGAACAAACGGTCAAAATGGTTTGAAACATTTGGCTACATTCTTCTTTTTTATCATGGTAGGATATCTTTGGAAATATAACTAACACTCTTTGGTCCCACAAAATATTAATTGTCAATAGTGAATACTAGAAAAGTTTAACAGTGCTACATGTACTATTTCATGTTGCAATTTCTCCTGGCACATGAATTTAATAAAACCACAGATAGTAGAAACTAAGACTGACAGGAGACTGACAGGTAAATAGCATGAGAAATGAAAGCTAATAGGCTTTATGTAGGTGTGAATCATACCTGTCAGTTGATAGAATTCTGAAAGGTACACTTTCCTCCTGATAAAATAGCTTACATTTATAAAGTGATATTAAATGTTTCACTCCATCATACCGACAGTACTACTCTATACCCACACACATGGAGACTTGTATTATAGCTATGTGGTGATTTAAAAGGAAAAAAAATCTCAGGTATCTAGGTCCTCCTAACCAAAACTGAAATTCAAAGCATACACATAAAAGGGAAAACATGTAAATTCAAAGTACCAACTATAATGCCCTAAAATTATTTAATAAAATGAACACAAAATTAAAAATTCCAAACAAACCTGCAGTGGGTTCCGATTTAATCTTTGTTGCAGAGGCAAGTTCTTTTGAAAAAGATACTGAATGTTTCAAGTCAGGCGTTTTGTCATGTATTTCATCAGACCTTCCTACCTGTTTGCCAAAGACAGATATTTTCTTCAGGAGCAAGTTATTTTACTAAAAGAATATAAAATTACACTACACCAAGTTATTGTGAGCCTTTCATTTATCTCCATTTTATCTTTGACCTCTCTGTAGTATCACCAATATGAGCCAATGCTTACTCAAACCAAAATTAAACGACTGCCTTTGTGGTTTATTTAAATTCTACCTTAGTTTCTTCCTTTGGTGCAGGGAGTGATTCTTTTCCACTTTTTGTCCACAATGACTTAATGGCTTGATAAATTTGCTGGCTCGTAGTATATGCCTTTTTCCCAGTTATCTATAAAAAAGGGAGTCAAATAGTTAAAAAAACTTTTCAATTCAGATCAGTTATTTTATATGAACAAATAAGTTGCAATCAACCAGAAAAATGTCAATGTCTAGTTCACATGAAATAAAACAGTATTTTCAAAGTAGTATATGAAAAAAAAATGAGTAACTCCCTATAAATAGCTAACAAATACATAATTTCTTTCACAGTATAATATCAATTTAAGTTATGCTCATTTTTTTTGACATAATTTTTGTTAGGGATTGAACTTCAGGCATTACGTAGCACTCTACTAAGGAGGCAAACCTCAGGCCCTATTTTATTATCAGGAAAACATTTTTTTAAAGAATAGTGTAATACTGAGTGAAGCTTTTATTTGCAAACTACACTTTAGATTATCATTTGTTTTGAAAATTGCCAGTCCTTTCTTTCTAAAATGAAATATACTTATAATAGAAAAGTTCAACATAAATCTAGCCACACTGAACCTCTTAGAAGTAGGAGGTACCCTTGAACAAATTGGTACAGGAGATCACTTCCTGAACATAACACTAGTAGCACAGATACTGAGATTGACAATTAATAAATTGAGAAGCTTCTGTAAGGCAAAGGACACAGTTGGCAAGTCCAAACGGTAGCCTACACTCTGGGAAAAGATCTTCACTAACCCTATATCTGACAGAGGTCTGATCTCCAAAATATACAAAGAACTCAAGAAAATAGTCACCCAAACACCAAATAACCCTATTAAAAATAAGGTACAGAACTGGAGAGAATTCTCAATAGAGGAAATCAAAAAGGCTGAAAGACACTTAAGAAACTCTGAGATCTTATTCATGCCAGGGTGGCTAAAATTAGAAACACCAATGACAACTTATGCAGAAGAGGATGTGGAGAAAGGGGAAGACTCCTCCACTGCTGGTGGAATGGGAGGATGGTCAGGGGGCATGGGAGAGAGGCAGAGAAGGTGGAGAGAGGGAGGGAGGGAGGGATAGAGAACTGGGATCGATATGTAAAATAAGAAAATAAACAAAAACGAAAAGAAAAGCTCTTAGCTGATATTACTTTTAGGAGATTTGTCTGAGTAGCCAAAGATCTTCTAAATTTTATTTTTATTTATTATTTTATATGTATGAATGTTTTACCTGCACATACATATGTGCACCATGTGCTTGTGTTCTAAGGGGCATTAGACCCCTTAGAACAGGAATTACAGTTGGTTGTGAGTTGCCATGTGGATGCTGGGAACTGAACCTGGGTCCTCTGAAGATCACCAAGTACTCTTAACCACTGAGCCATCTCTCCTGTCCAAGTGAACTATTGTTTTTTTTAATTTTACAATAAAAAATACTCATAGACTTTTGAGTACTGATCACTAGTGGTTACTTTCAATATGAAATATATCTTTTCCAAATTGCCTTGCAAAATTTCTTCCATGACAATGTTCATAAAGACAATTACTTTCAAGTATATCATGTCCATTGACCACAGTCACTCCCAAGACCTTTCCCATTCCTTTCTTTTTCTTTGAACCTTCTTCCTTTCCTTAGACTCACTTATGATTTCATGTCATACATGAATGTGCATACATACATTTTCATGCCACATGCACATGTGTGTGTGTGGTTTTATGCATCAATATATAAATGGGGATCCACAAATGAGAGAAAATAATCATTATTTGTCTTTCTGCATCTAGCTTATTTCACTTAATATGATTTCTTTTGCAAGTGGACTAATAGTCTTACATTTGTTTTTTCTACACATTTTCTATACCAGTTTCATTTGAAACTAAACAATTTAAGTACAACACAAAAAATATGTTTCTAGGAAAACTGGCTTAAATGCATTTTAGAGATTTGAAACTGAATGTTTAAAATATAACTATTTTAAGACTAGCAGTTTAAAAAGCTTGAAACCACACACATAAAATCTAGGTGGATTCTAAAACCATGTTTTTTCAATGATTTAAAATGATTTTTCCTATTTGAAAGAAGATGTAATAGAAAATTGAAAATACAATTTTTAACATACTGTTATTGTAAGAAAGATGTCAAAGATCTTATCAAAAAACCTAATACTTAGTGAACACTCTTCCTTTAAAATAGAGAAAGGAGTGGGAGCTAGAGTACATCATTCAGTCAGTAACATGTTTGCTTTGCAAGCATGAGAACCTTAGTTCAGTGCCCATAACCATCATAAAAATGTCCAGTGTGATGGTGTCTAATTGTAATTTGAGTTCTGGAGAAGCAGAAACATGACAATCCCTGAAACTAACTGGCAAGCGAATCTAGCCTTTGTGGTGAGCTCAAGGTCAATGAAAGATGTAGCTAGAAAAATAAAAGACCCAGTGATTGATATTGGGGTTCAAACTTCAAGCTGAAGATGAGTAAAGCAAAGCAGCTGGTCACTAACTCTTAACTCTACCTCAGATTGAAAGGCGATCTTGGGTCCACCAATTCTCAGACTGCTGCCTCTCCTCAGCATGGCTGGAGAATCCTGAGAACTCAGTGTCTTCCTATCATCAATGTGGCTGGAGAATGAATCCCAGATACTGAATACTGAAGAGCTTGCTCCTATCTTTTATACCACTCTTGTGCAAAGATTAAAGGTCTATTATCCCAGGTGCTGAGATCATCTTTGTGTGAGCTGTTCCTCTTTAGGACTGGATCAATCTTGTGTAGATTAAAAGTGTGATTAAAGATTAAAAGTGTGTGCCACTACCTCCTAGCTTCTGGCTGCTAGGATTAAAGGTGTTATCACCACTGCCTGACCTATACAGCTTGTGGCTGACTTCACTGTCTGAATACTCAGTTAAGTTTTAATAAATCATAAAGAATATATCATCACAAAGAGACCCACCTCAAAGGAGGTGTATAGTGTTACTGAGGATGGTACTCAAGGTTATCCTCCAGCTTTCACATGCACATGCTTTCATATGTGCATGTACGTAAATGGACATGTACACATATACATTTTAAACAATAAAATAGATGTATTTCAATTTGAATTAAAATTTCAGGTATATATTGTTTTCAGTTTTTCAGGTAATTGCTATGAACCAGTCCGGATAATATCAAATAAGCAGAAATGTAATATATATATATATACACACATTTTTCATACAATTTTAGATAGTATAGGAGTTACAGGATTTCTGAATCCTACTACGTATTTCAGATCAAGAAGGTATTTACTTATCTATCTATCTATCTATCTATCTATCTATATATATATATATATATATATATGTTCATATATGTATAATCCTATATTTTTGGTTGTGAGCATAGCCTTTAACAGCTGAGCTATCTCTCCAACCCTGCATGTATATTCTAATCTGACAAAAATTGTATACAATATATATAGAGCCCCAAAAGCAATGGTTTCATTGTTAGAAATTTTGGTGATTTACTATAGAATGATTTTTAGAATTTAATATTAAAGTTCAATAGTTCTTTTAGGTTTTTCCTTTGTTAAAATGAATTAAATATAATCTAAAAAGATCTATACCATGACATTATTCTTATCTACATACTTACTCATCTATTTTACTGTCTCTATGTAATCAAGTAAAAGATGACTGGGAGAATATTGCAAGAGACTTCTGACAATGATATTTGTACAGATATAAGCATATTTCATTGGTTATATTTCTTCTAGCCTAAATTTTTCTGTAATGCTTATATTTAAGGATGAATTATATCCATTTTAAGAAAAGAAATATACATGTCAGGATGGCCGAGCGGTCTAAGGCGCTGCGTTCAAGAAAAGAAATATACAGAGGGAGAAAAATTGCTGTAAGAATAAAAAGAGTAGACTCACTAGCAGCAGCATCCAGTGATAATGGTATAAGACAGAAACATGGGACACCTAAAGCTGAATGTGACTCTAAAACAGTCCCTGGGAACCTTTATTGGGCCATCGTTTGCTGATCAGAAAATGAGAACAATATAAAGGTTAAGTAAAATAAGCTCAAGTTTTCCTTCAGCATCAACACTAATTTGAGTGGCTAATTCTCATGTAAATTCATAGAAAAGAATCTTTTAAAACAAATTCATCACTTTATCCAGCAATTTTCTCAAGTATAACTAGATTTAATGAATAATGTTATTTTCCTGTTATAAGCTTTTATAGCTTGATCACATAACAAACAGCAAAGTTGTACATCAATAATTAAAGAGATACTGTAGTGAGAATACAATTACAGACCATCCTTTTGGTAACAATATTTATGTATGACTTGGAATATTAAATGTTGATAACTAATGGAAGAAAAGAAGAAAAACTTGCATACCCCAAATCTGTGCTTCTGAATCTGAGTTTGTAATAAAAATACAAGGCCTGGAAATAGAGTTTATGGCTTGACCAGAATAGTGTCTGGGACTCTGGGTCCAACCTCTATCTTTGCAAAAAGAAAAATTCAATAAATATTGTTTAAATTATCAGGAGACTATTTCGATTTACAGCAATTACAATGAGCTGGAAGATTTTTGTTTCAAACTCAGAAGTCTCTGTAAACTATTATTTGGCTATTCTTGCATTGTGTTAATATTCTGAAGTAAGGCGCTGCCAGTGAGTATAATTTTCTGTTAATTAAGAAAAAAATGTTTATAGTTCAATTATGAAGCAGTACTTCTTCCCACTAATTCCAATTTTGTCTCTAAAATTGACCTATCAACCTGATTTTATATTGCTGAACTAGAATTAAACAAATTCATCCTATTTATTTGTGATGATCATAAAATAAAGGCATTTTCCATGAAAAAATACTAATACAATTTTTCCAATCCAAGAGGTTATTCCAACCACATGCATCTGAAGAATCGCATATTTAAGGTTTTTGTAACAGTTAAATGTAGTCAGATTAGGAGTTTAAACAAATACTGCTCTCACTTTAAATGAACTTACCTTTGCAATTATTACTGACTGAGCTGGATAACAAACAGTTGCTCCTAATGAGGCCAATCCTAGTGGATAAGCAATCTTCTTAAACCTAGAACCTAGGAAATTCAAACATATCATTCACTCCAAATAGATAACAATTTTATGACAATTTAGGAAGGCCCTCCAGTGACAGTGAAACATAAAGGTGATATGGTTGAATAAAGTGCAATATAAAACTCCTTTCTAAGTAGTACAAGATATTAAAACTATTCTTATGAATTATATATACTAAGACATATCAATCATATGCCATTAAATGAAAGAAAACCATAAGTATATTTTTAATTACTTGGGGCACTCACATTTTTGGGTGCTGCATCTATAGGAAGGTCCTTTTAAAACTGTACTGAGCTCTGAAATGTCTACTTAGAATGAAGTCTACAATTATTCTACTTTTTAAAATATTGTAAGATATTGGAGGGTAGAAAGAGGGCTGTTCATGTCCATAGCATTAAGCACAACAGTAACTTCATATACACAAAGCTTGGTCCCTCTCGCCATCACTGCAGCAAGCCACCCAGAGACTTTATGTTCTTATAGTGTAATGTTTTCTTTGCCCCTCTTTAAGCTATCACCCTATGTTAAATTGCTCTTTAGTTAGTAATAATCAAGATGATACCTAAAATGCCCTTAAGACTCTCAATTCAATTAATGTCCCTTAGCCATCATGTCCAATTTAAGAAAAAAAAAATGTTCTGAACCTAATAATTATCTACACAAAGGAATTAGTAATTATCTTCTTTTTTAAAAGATTGATTATTTTTTCATATTCTAAGAAACGTAAAATTATAATTACATTTTTTTTCAAATATCTAACAGAGCATGATAGAAGAATTAATCAAATACTGTGTTCATCAAAGCAGGTTAAAGTGAAATGGACTCTCTTCCATATGCTCTTTCTGATTAACACTTAGAAAGGTGAAGGATCTAACTAACCAATCAGCTAATGACTTCAAAAGGTACATACCTTCTTCATGTCACTGATTTAGAATACTGAAGTAATACTAATTGTAATTAGCTTGACATAATTAATGCGCTTTCAGAAGTGGCTTAACTAAGCATCTAAGAGTCATTTTCATATCATTTTTTGACAGGAAAATCTCTTTTTAAAAAATTCAAAAGAGAATGTTACTATGAGCTCACTAGGTTCTCACTAGGAGCCTGTCAACTTGAAATTGCTTGATTAACCTGGGTGTAAGAAGTTCTGTATCAAGCCCTGCCACATAGCTTTTATCTTATCCCCACATTTCCCCTAAACACTTCCACAGAACCACAGTAATGCTGTATAACAGTGGGAAACAAAGCATTTTCAGCTGAATCTTAGACCTACAAGAACACTGCTTCAAAATGATATGCATAGTAAATGTCTGTCTGGGTATATCAGACTCTGAATGAGACTAAGCAATGACACATTGCTTTTTCAACTAGAGTAAGTACTGTTAACTCTAACAGCTTTTTGGTCTCTAATTCTAAAAGGAAATAGCAAAATATTAAGGGGGAGGTAATACATGTAAATGTCTCCTAGTAACTTTACAGTTTGTGAAATGTTACAAATTTTATATTTTCTCTGTCTTGTTTAATTATTTTTAAAGAAGCCTGTTAAAGTGAGGTCTACAATAGACTGAGCTTGGCCAAGGTGTATAAGATGGATGCTTTCTGTGGTACAGTGAAAAAAGTCTATGCTATGCTAATTAAAGTATCCTAAACTGAACCTCAATTCTGCTCCTCCTCAGTATTTTTGTTTGGTTGATTTAACAATCCCAATATATCAGGATTGGAATCTCTTAACTCATCAAAATTCCCTGAATTATGGTGGTGTATGGCAGTTTTTCTTTGAGAAACTATTGGAAAAAAATGACATTTACTCTTTCCTTACTTGTATACAAGAAACTATTCTGCAAAATTATCATGTGTGTTCAACAGTTCTACTTTTATAATAAGGAAGAATAATAAACACATATACTAATTAGCTATGTGATGTACAATTAGAAACATACACATGGTTTTCTTTTAGATTTCCATCTTCAGTACAATAGGGTTAAAAGAAAGAAATAGCTTTCTTCCTTTCACTGTACCATGACCTATATAAAGAATAAGGTTTACATTTTACATGATGACCTATGGCCTATCACACATAGTACACTTCTCTGAGACCAAAGTTTCATGATATTGACTCAAACTCTAAATACAAAACAATCTATTTGCTATTCTACCATAACTCATATAATTTAAAGCAATATACCTTCAGATCTAATATGTTTACTTCACTACCCACTAGTATTTTTAGAGCTGCAGCCTGAATGTAGCTCTCACATTCAAAAACATGATAAATGACCTAAAGAATCATTTCTCTTACCAGAGGATTGCTACTGTATAATTAAGAAACTAAATGATACATCATGAACAATTTTCTTCAAAATTCAAGAAACAAGATACAGAAGTAAGTTGGAAGAAAAATATGAAATACAATGACATAGAGTTAATCAGTTCTAATGACCTATATAGTGCAGTGAGGTTACTATACTTTATAGTAACCTATTATATAAAGAAATAATAATATGATTGAAGACAGTTAAAATTGATGATGTCCATGTAATATAGGATTGTTAAATACAATGCATAAAGATTTAACACAGTAAACTCAAGTCTTGCCATCAGAATCTTCTTCTAGCATCTGAGAACTTTTCCACTTAGAAGTCTGGAATTTTGTTAGGTACATACTATTGATGTGTCTAGCCCTCAATGAAACCCTGGACACTCTTCTGCTTATAGTTGTCCCTCAACACTTGCTTGCTTTATTTGTATCATCTCAATTTCTTACTAGAGAAATTAAGAATACATCGTATTCTTAATTCTTAAAAGACTTCAATCAGGGGAAGAATAGAGGAGACCAGGGAAACAGAAATGTTAATATAGAGAGCCATTTTAGGTTTAAAGAGAAATTTCACACTAGGGAAATGTCCAGAGATCCACAAGGATGACCCCAACCCCACAAGCTAAGCAAAAGTGGAGAGGCTACATTAAATGCCCTTCCCCTATAGTGAGATTGATGGCACCTTAAATGCCACCCTAGAGCCTTCATCTAGTAACTAATTGAAGCAGAAGCAGACATCCACAGCTAAACACTGAGCAGAATTCCTAGAATCCAGTTGTAGAAAGAGAGGAGTGATGAGCAAAAGGGTCAAGACCATGCTGGAGAAACCCACAGAAACAGCTGACCTGAAAAGGGGGTGCTCATGGACCCTAGACTGACAGCTTGGAAACCAGTATAGGACAAAACCAGGCCCCCTAAATGTGAGTGTCAGTTAGGAAGCCTGGGCAGCCTATAGTGCCTCTGGGGAACAGCACTTTTACCTAGGAATGGATATTGGGAGCCCATTCCCCATGGAGGGATACTCTCTTAGCCTAGACACACAGAGGAGGGCCTAGACCATGCATCAAATGATATGACAGACTTTGATGATCCCCCACATGAAGGCCTTGCCCTTTCTATGGAGCAGAAGAGGAATGGGATGGGGGTTGGTGGAGGGGATGGGAGAATGGGAGGGAGAGGGAACCAGGATTGATATATAAAATAAGATTGCTTCTAATTTAAATAGAAAAGGAAAATTTTGTAACTAATTTCTTCTAAACTTTGCCCTATGTCACTCCCTGCTTTTTAATTTCATCGTATACCCTCCCATTGCAATAATCTTTATCCATGACCATGACTACATACCAAGCCTTTTGAGTCTTTTCAACTAGTCATCAAGTCTTATTGTAATCGTATGAATATGATCATTCACAAGAGAACTATAGTCAGAAGAAAAAGCAAAGTAGGTACAGATGCATGGTATAAAAATGTACAAAGAAAACAAATATACAAAGTCTCATAGTGAATAGTGAATAAAAGTTGTAGCGTGAGTTATCTACTTCTACAGACTCCATTCCCTTGTGGATGATATTAATTTCAACAACTTTGGTCAGAATGAAACCAAAAGTAAACCAGATTTTATCTGAGATATAGCATGTGTTCCTCAAATTCTTAACATAGTTTCCAGTATGAGTAGTATGATTTAAAAAAAGCAGTTTTGTGTGGATAGTGTATATCTTTATATTAACATACAACTGTCAAGAATTTTTTGGTAGTATAACTTTCTTCAGATTAAAAAAAACCAAATTATAATAAGTAGACAATGAAAAGGCAAATTACAATTTTAATTAGAACAGCTTCATATTTTTAACATTTTGTTTAAAGAAGTCATATATTTGTACATTTTAACAAGTAGTCATTTAATTAAAAATACTTCCTATTATCCTTTTTAGTAATACATTTCCCACATTCTTAACCTCAGGAAACTAACAATCTACTTTGTATCATTCTAATTTTGTCTTTTGGAGAATGTCACACCAATGCTATATGTGCAATAGGGCAACTTATTATGATGCTGAAAATTTTTCCTTTGTAGGGATGTGCCACTGATCCCTTTATTCATTTACCTGTTTGAAGAATATTTAGCTGGTTTCCAGCTTTTTATGATTATCAACAATTGCTATTAAGCATTTATGTAGGGGTATTTTATTTCTCTTAATATCTTAGCTAGGGTTTTTATTGCTGTGACAAAACACCATGACCAACAAGCAAGTTGGGGATAAAGGGGTTTATTTGGCTTACCCTTCCATATTGTTCATCACTGGAAGTCATGACAGGAACTCAAACAGTACAGGAAGCTGGAGTCAAGAGTTAATGCATAGGCCATAGAGGGGTACTACTTACTGACTTGCTTCTCATGGCTTTCTCAATCTGCATTCCTATAGAACCCAAGACTACCAGTCTAGAAGTAGCTGGGTCCCCCCTCATCAATCACTAATTAAGAAAATGTCTTACAGCTAGATGTTACAAAGGCATATTCTCAGTTGAGGTTCTCTCCTTGCAGATAACTCTAGCTTGTGTCAAGTTGGCACAAGACTAGCCAGCATATCTAGGATAAGTACATACTTGGGAATGTGATTCCTACATTGCTTGATAGTGCAGTTTAACTTTATGAGAAATTTTAAATTTTCCAAAATTCCTATATCACTTAGCATTTTTACCAGCAGAATATATGAATTTCAGTTATTCTCCATTCTTCACTACAATTAGTACGTACGGTCAAACTTAACATTTATAAACATAAATATGGTACAGTAAAAATCTAAACATTTTGCTGGGCGGTGATGATACACAACTTTAATTCCAGCACTTGGGAGGCAGATGCAGGTGGATCTCTGTGAGTTTAAGGCCAGCCTGGTCTACAGAGTGAGTTCCAAAGATAGGCTCCAAAGCTATGGAGAAACCTTGTCTCAGAAAAAAACAAAGCAAAACAAAATGTAAACTTTTATATTAACCTTATCTGATATTGTCCAATAAATGCCATGAAGGTAAAATTCAGAAATAACATAATAGCATTCAAAGAAAAATATATTGTATAAACATACCTTTTCTTGCTGAAAGCAAACCTGCCAGTCCTGAAGCTGTAATCACTCCCATTTTAGGAAGAAAATCTTGAGGAGGATTCTTAAGATAGACATATGATTCTGAAGAGAACAGTTAAAAATGAGTAAGAATGACTGATTACAATTGGATGGTCTATATGAATATACTACAGAACAGCTCGAGACTATTATGTTAGAGGCAGACAATAGAATGTTAGAGAGCAGTTTAAATACCCTTCAAATAAGTTATACATAAATTGATATAGACAGAAACAAATGATTTGTTATAATTCTCACTATAAAATCAAATTTACCTTCCACAGGTCATTTAATACTTGCTTTCTTTATGATAGAGATTAATATTACTATTAAATGAACTATGATGCTTAAATATGAAGTACCATAAGACAAATTCCTGATTTTTTTGTTTTACATCCCTACAATGAGGCTTTTGCTGTCACCTGTTTAAACACTGGTAATATCCAGCAAGAATTAATGATATCTTATAAAAGAATTTTGCAATTAGACACTTCTTGCCACCATCTTCCAAAAACCTCCTCACATTAGCCACTGGTTAAAACTAAAGATCAAGATGAGAAGTGAAAATAGCGGAAAAAACATATAAAGCAGAATCAAAAGTATATGTGCTTCAGTATTTTATACATTAAAATTGTTTCTAGATCTGAAAATATACTCTTCTACCATAATTATTTGATGACAATCACATACATAAGTATGTCCCTCAAGATTAATGAAGTATAGCTGGTTACACTGGTGCATATATTAACCCAACACTTGACATGATAAGGCAGGGAAACAATGAGCTCCAGGTTCACCTAGACTGTACAGTAAGACCCTGGCTCAAAAAATATTGATAATAAATGTTAATCCTTAATGCATAGTAAGTAATAATATTTCAAATAAATTTCATTAAGTTTATTGTAGACATCTAAAATTTTAGCTATTTTTTTTTGTTGTCCATACATGTTTATTTTTGACAACTGCTCTAAGCAAGGAATATCAGGAAGTTAAGTTTGCTGTCAAATTCCATTAAGAAGCTTAAGTATCAAATACAATTACTTTCCACATTAGCTGAAACAGTTCAAGACAAGTGATTGCTATATCATTTCTCAGCAATTGATAAAAAAGCATAATGTATTTTTCATAAATAATAACACTATTTAAACTAATTAGCAAAAGAGTGGATAAACCTTTACCTTATGCTTTATAAATATACAATGTGGATTTCAGTCAAAAGTGATCTGAGTTTGAATCTGGGCAATGCCTCCTAGTAATCTTGGGAATGTAGTTAAACTTTCTAAACCTCATTTTCTAATCTGTGAGACAACATTCTGTGGTTATAACAGCATCACTCAGCAACACGATGAAGCTTTAGCATGTAATAAATTGTAAAATAAATAGTACTTACTATTGCTTTGTTATTATTACAAATAAAGTACAGAATCTAAATTCTATATCAGTACAATCATAGTAATGGGTAATATACTATATTTATATTCTTACATTTTAAACAATACAACTTAAAACCATAATACATTTCTAATTACAGATAGTTTGCTCACTACCTTTTCCAAACTGTACTGTATCCATTATCCCATTCTTCATAAAGATATAAACACCCTAAGCAAAAAGAGGAACAAAAGAAAAGCAATGTGAATTTTGAAGTGGTTGATTGACACAATAGCCCACAATTCTGAGATTACATTTAGCTGTTGATTTAGTATTACACTCAAATCTAAAACCAGATTTTATGTTTACTCACTATGAGTATACTTGCTTATCCGTTCTATCTCTTACTTTCAATTTTATTTAACAGTAATTCTGGTGTAGTATTTTCCTCATAGAAGTGGGTAGAGTAATACCTTTAAAATAATCAGTGATTTCACAGGAAAGATACTGAAAATTCTATAATGATTTATCAACTTATTTTATAATGGTCTGGATAAAATGAATGATCTTTAATAAATCATGAAATGAAGTATATCTCAGCACTCACACAAATTGTCTGGCTAATAAGAATGCAATAGCAACAGCATAATGATTTATAGAGAAGAAAACAGAAAAGGCCTAATGAAAAGTGCTTTATCTCTTACCTTTACCTTAGTGTACAATTAGAATGAGACAAAAAAAACTAACGAGGAGTTTATTTTTAAATAGGAACATAAATTCTCCATAAATCCCGATCATATTAACCCACCAAAGGGATTAAAGTTCTAAAGCAATGTTTTTCTGGTTATTTGTTTCAAATTTACCTGAATGTCAAGATACTGTTATATTCATTGAATGGTGGGTATTGTGTCACTTATACTAGGGAGATATGAGTGATCTACTCTGAATCTTGCTATATACCATGCTGGATTCTATTGTGTGACAAGAAAACATAATCCAAACATATGGCCTCCTTGTGTATGAAACCGTGAGATGGAAACAATAACGACATATATTTTCAGTGCAGAAAAACAGAAACAATTGTATTGATGGGAATGAGATGTCTTGATCTACTAATTTTGTCTCAGTTTAAGACTGAGCAGAGATGCTCACCCTTGTTTAAAAACTATACAAACTAGCATAAAACATAAAGTATCACTGAGACATTTCTCCTGAGGGAATGTATTACAAAAACATTAACTGTAGCATTAAAATACTTACTGATCTGTTTTGAGCCATTTAATCATCAAGGAAAACAACTGGTCTTTGGGGAAATTTTCCTTAGCTGTGTTTAGGAATTCACTTTTACCACTAGGGGGCACTGTTACATTAAATTTCAAAACACTAAAGCATATGCTAGGAGCATACACTGAATTTGCACTACATGATGCTACTTTTCACAAAGAAGTAATTTAAATCAGACCTTTTTCTGAGGAATAGATTGCGTATTTAGAAGAAAATTAGAGAGAAAAGTTGTTTACATTGAAGATGAAATACATTTGCAAGTGCCCTTCATCATTTTATTCTGTTAGCATATTAACAGAATAAAATGTTCTTTCAGTCTTAAATTGGGTGATAGTTACAATAGCAATTTAAAGATCTCTCAGGAACAATTACCTCGCTGAAGACACATCTGAGTACACTATAGAAAATTAGGTCTCAAGAGACCTAAGTCTGAATCATCTAGTTTTTGGCAAATAGCCTGAGGGGCATGACTCAGACCACAATTAGTTAAGGTACTTCCCACAGAAATAACATTATTAAGGGTGACTACCACAACCAGTACCCTGGAATTGTATGACAAGCACAAACTTTCAAAAATAATTCCACAGATATGGAATACCATACAGACTCACTGATTAGATATTGCACCTAAGGATGCCATTTTTAAAAGTTTATTGTATTTTCTTGATGATGATGATTGTGTGTGTGTGTGTGTGTGTGTGTGTGTGTGTGTGTGTCTGCATACATATGCATACAGTGTGTGAAAGTCAGTATGAAGTTGTTTCTCTTTCCTCCTTTTATGGGTTCTGGGGATCAAACTCAGGTCACCAGGCTTGCATTGCAAGTATCTTTACCCACTGAGACAACTCAACAGCCTCAAATTTTTCCTTTTAAAAGAAATATATTAAAACTATATATGACAGGAAATCTGCATCTAGCAATCTTAACATGGTAGCATAAACAAGACTTTTACAGTGATACTATCAGGAAATTTCACAAAGCCAAAGCCCCAGTCATGGGCAATTAATTAATGGCATTTATGAGAAGAGCAATTAGTGTTCTCTGGAAACAATCTCCCTCATAGACTATCTGAAGCCAAGTGGTTAGTCCTAAATACATATACATATGAACCACACTAAACAGACTCAACTCTGTGTGTGTGAGAGAGAGAGATGAGAGAGAGAGAGAGAGAGAGAGAGAGAGAGAGAGAGAGAGAGAGAACACATCAATAATAAAGAAGGGGCCATGAAACTGAGAGGGGGTGGTGGGAACACAGGAGGAGTTGGAAGAGGTAGAGGTCGGGGTGAAAATAATGTAAATGCAATACTCATGCACTGATGTAAACACAGTGCTCATATAAGAAATTACCAAAAAATAATAAATGTTAAAACACATATGTATACAATCAGGCTACATTTGTTGGTGAAGTAAATGCTGTGATTATTATTCTAGAATTAGAAAAACACTGGTAACACTATTACTAAGATCCTCACAGTGGAGATGTTGACAACACACAACTAATTTTAAGGAGATAATAAAACAGCACTGTGCTATCAGCTGCCATCTCAGTCAACAATTTCAGCTAAGTCTAGTCTTCCAGCCACCCTTGACAGGGTGTTAGAGATACAAATGAAGCTATTTTGGCCTCTAGCTCAGCCCATTTGCCTGATGAATGCCATTTGAGTGGCCTCAGGCAGTATCACAAGAATAGAAGAATCAGCTGTCTGAACTCTCATCATATTCCTAATTCTCAAAATAAAGAGCCATTATACAATGCTTGGTATTTTAAGCCACTAAGTTTCAAGGAGGTTTCTTCTCTTTTTAAAAACACATCTATAAATACCTGAAACAATTAATCAAAAACACTGATACTTAATCACTATCAAAATAGACTTACCTTGCACCAGCCAAGATAACGAACAGTTGTAGTACGGATAGATGCAAAGCCCATTTGTAAATAACCAGGCTGTTCTTCAACATATTTAGAATGGAGAGGTGGTGCAGTATATATGGGGAGCTGGGGATAGAATAAAGTTCATATCAAAAGCAAATAACTGGGCTTCCTTTTCCAGCATTGTATCAAAACAGGAATCATAATCGATCTTCCTTCTAAAAAATGGCTAAAATTGATTACAGATAGACCCTACATTGCATATATAATAGGATAAACTGAACATAAAAACTACTTAGAAAGGCAGAATCAAGTGATGCCACATATAGAATGACCAAGTGGATGGATGGATGGATGGATGGATGGATATATATATACACATATATATGACAGGGCTTCACTATGTAATCCATGCTACTTAGACTTCACTATATAGCTCAAAGTAATAAGTTCCCAAACTTATGATTTTCCAACCTCTGCTTCCTGATTACAGATGTGGATCACCACACTCAAGAGACATAATAGTTTTAGTCCTAGCATTTTTTAATTAAATTGTATTTAATTGTGTGCGCACGTGTGATTATGCATACATATGCTATAGTGTGCATGTGGGGGTGTATGGGAGTTGGTTTTCTCAATTCACCATGAGAATTCCTGGGACTGAATTTAGGTCATTAAGTTTGATGGCAAGGACCTAATTTTAATTAGCATTTATACTGCTCTAATGAAAACACCAACACCAAAAGCAAGATGGGGGAGGAAATGGTAAATCTGGCTTGCACTCCCACACTCCAGTCCATCATTGGAGAAATCAGGAAAGGAACTCAAACAGGGCAGGAACCTGGAAGTGGGAGCTGACTCAAAGGCCATGGAGGAATACTGCTTACTGGCTTGCTTCTTCTGGCTTGCTCAGCCTGCTTTCTTATAGAACCCAGGACCACTACCCCAGGAATGTTACCACCCACAATAGGCTGGCTGGGCCCTCCCTCCTCAATCACTAATTGAGAAAATGCCTTACAGCTGGGTCTTATAAAGGCATTTTCTCAGTTGAAGTTCCCTCCTTTCAGGTAACTCTAGCATGTGTCAAGTTGATATAAAACTTGCCAGCACAGATTTTTATCTGCTAAGCCATCTCTCCAGCCCTTAACCTAGCAAAATTTTAACTGTAAAAATCTATGAAAAGTAGACAGTTAACTTACATTATATCCATACAACAGACTAGTATAAATTAGGGCAAAATATAAAAATCACAGTCTCTATGATCACATTGCTGGGCATGATGGTGTATGCTTTTAACCCCACTACTCAGGAGGCAGAGGCAGGCATATCTCCACAAGTCTGAAGCCAACCTAAACAACACTGCTAGTTCCAGGTCAGACAGAACTACATAGTGAGATCCTGCTGCAAATAAAATAAAATTAAATCAGTTACACCCACATACAAACATCAGAATGAATTTCAAGAAATTACTACTAAACCAAAAGGCTAAGATATAGAAAATTACATGCAATTTGTCCCATAAGTATCATAAATTTGTAATTAAAATATGTATAAACACTCAAACTGCTTAGCAAAACATATAAGTTATCATAAAGTGTTTTGTTTTTAAGGAAATAATGAAACTGGAGAAAAGGCTAAGCAGTTAAGAGCACTGGTTACTCTTCCTCCAGAGCACCCATGTTCAATTCCCAGAACCCACATGGCAGCTCACAACCATCTTCAACTCCTGCTCTAGGGAGAATTCCCTGATCTAAAATGACAATAAAACAAGTTAAATTCATGACACTAAGGAATGTAGAAAAGACATTTCCAGAACTTATGGTTTGACCATTCATTCTAGTGATCTACAAGTTTCTTGTTTAAAAGATAGTTATCTCATAGTTCTGAAAATTTTTCTATTAAAGGAAGATTTAATTATATTCACTAAACAATAAAACAAGAACATATTGATCCTTTTGTAAAAGATGTTTAACAAGAAAAGGAAAACCAAAAGTTTATTGTTCATCTAGAAACTTAACAAAAAAATTAAAATGATCAGAACACCTCATTCAAAGTATTCTGGCTTGGTATACTGTTACTAGCAAGGAGATTTAAACAGAGGTATTGTTCACATTACACAATAAACATACTTTAACATTCTGTGTGTACATAACATTTTCATCCTTTGGCATTTTCAATTCCTCAAAATTAGACCATGATGTTTATAAAACATTTCCTAGCATATAGCTAATAAATAAATGAATTGATTCCAATTACAATGTACTTGGGAATTCTGTATATTCTTTAACATTGCAAACACAACACATCAGTTTCGATATTCAAAAATCTGAGTCCTTTCAGATAAGGTGGCAGACTGGAAACTGCCACCCTATGACCTAGTGAAGGAGAGGACTCAAGAGTAAGAAAAAGCAGGTTAAAATCCTAGTGAAATAAAGGAAGAAAGAGCAACAGAAATTCCCAAAACAGGGCAGGCAGTGAGAAGATACCTGACAAGTATGGAGAGAAAAAGACTCACAGAAAAGAAGCCAAGCTTCTTGTGCATGGTCACTGTTAGTGGAGGGGAAGCAAAAGATGCCTTCAAAAATTAAGCCAGGCAGTTCTGGTGAAAGAGAAGGAATGCCCTACTTCTAGGATAACCCCCCCCAAACCATCAGAAGCCACAATATCATTCTAAGTCTTGATGAAACAGTGATTCCTCCTGTGGACAAGGCAGCAGCAGAGAAGAATCCTACAAGCTACTCTAAGAGCAGGAGTCAGGCACTCGAGTTACAAAGAACTCATTGCTTAAAACTTAGCTACCTTGAGGCCTGAGAAAAAGGGAACCATACATCAGGGAGTTTGAATTTCATCTGCCACAGCCCTAGGATGAGAGACAGCCCTGGGAAGCACTTGTAGAGAGAAAGTGGTAGGACCCGACACTAATCAGCAGAAGAGTGAAAGTGTCAGGAGGCTCAGCTCAGGCAGTGAAGTTCACAAAGAGAGGTAAATCAACCAGCAGCTACTGGCAACACATCTCACCAACTGTGAATAACACCGAAGTTTGATAGCTCTGGGCCTAAACTCAGTATGTTAATCCGTCTCTGAAGCCCAAACCTATCAACTACGTTCTGCTACAGAGATCAACAACTGTGAAGCACCAGTGGTTTGTTTGATACCTTCACCTGCATCCCTCCAGCAAAGAAATTAATACTCAAAAGACCTTGAAAGCATAAAAACAGCTTCTCTGTACAAATAGCAGAAATGTGGTTGCTTCTCAGAGTACCAACATAATTGGAAGACAACACCTAACTAGAAGATGAGCCACTAGAGAGGGCACAAGCTGAGTGGTATAGTTCAGGTAAAAACTTGTCCAGCACATAGACTGCAAAGGTAAATGTGGACAGCAGAGCCCTTGTAATGCAAAAAAGGCAACTACTAAAGTGAAGGCAAACCTGGCAGACATCAGACTCTTGTCCAATAAAGGCTCAAAGCCAGCATACACCACGGAAAAGACAAAACTGCTTATATTCAAGTGCCCCCCCTCGTAATGAATATACTCAGGGGTATTCACCTTGAAGGAGCCTAGAAAAAAGCTACTCCAACATTTAAATGCTGTTTTCCCATGTGCTTCCCATTTTCTAAACCCTCATTCATTGTTTACTCTTTTTATATATTACATCCTGACAACAGTTTCCACTTCCTTCCTCTGCCCAGTCTCTCCCCTGACCCTGCCACCTCCCATATACCCTACCTCTGTCTCTCCTCAGAAAACAGCAGGTCTTTATCAACCAAACACAGCATAACATGCTACAAGAAGACCAGGCACATACCATCACATCAAGGCTCTAGGAGACAACCCAATAGTAGGAAAAGGGTCCCACAGCTAAGTGAAAAGTCAAAGACAGCCCCTGCCCTCACTGTTAAAAGTCTCACAAGAACACCTTGCTATTTGACCATAACATACATGCAGTGGACCTACATCAAACCCCTACTTGCTCTATGATCTCTGCAGCCTCCATTATTTCCAGTTAATTATTCTGTGGGCCATGTTCTCATGGTGTCCCTGACCCCCTGGTTGCTCAAATCCAATCCTTCCTCGCCCTCCACAGAACACCCTGAGTTCTGCCTAATGTTTGGCTATGGGACTCTGCATTTGCTGCCATTAGTCATTGGATGAAGTCTCTCTGGTCTTTTTGATGAAAATTATGCTAGGCTCTGTTCCCAGAACACTTTTCAGGCAAGACAAACTGTAGGTCAAAGGTTTTTTGATTGAAAATCCCATTCTTAATGGTTTGACATTAAAAAAAAAATCACCATCTTTAAATTATAATTTTGTGTTTCTGCTAAATACATTATGCATTTTAGATATCTCATAACTATTTCTTTATACTTTAAAATATGTAACATCTATTGTGACAGATGTAGTTAAAAACACCTACATAGTTTTATTGTATCTCTATATTGTGCAAAATTCAACTTTGGAAGGCAAATTACCTGTTCTGGTCTCACTAGTTGCTTTTTGGGTTCCTCTTCTTTGGCCAGATGTACATTTATTGATGCATAGATCAAACCTGCAGGCATGGTTGTCAACTTTCCCATCTGCAAAAGACATATAAAAAAGACCACTTTAAGTAAAAAGATTCTCTGTTTTTATGTCCTGATAAGTGTTTGGGGGAATTTTGGGAAATATATTAAATATTCAACTATTTCAAATTAACTTATACAATTACATAAAACCTCTTGTGCTGTTCTAACTATTGTAGAGTGCAAAAATCTTACTGTCTTCTTCAAAGGGTGGTTTTAAATGAATAAATATGAGCTCTTATCTTTACTGCAGTCTCCCAGAAGTGGAAACAGTGCTTGCCTAGCATGCACAAAGCCCTGGAGTCTATTCCCTCACTACATAAACCTACTGTGGTAGGTAACACATGCTTGGAATACTAGCACTCAGGAGGGAGAGACAAAATAAATCCAGAGTTCAATAGTGATCCTTGGCTACATAACATGTGTAAGGCCAGCCTGGGCAACACGAAACTATGTCTCACAAAAAGCAATTGTAAGGCCAATGAGATGGCTCAGCCCTAGCAAATCTGGTAACCTGAGTTAATTCCTGATACTCATATAAAGAGCCAGATGCAGCAGAAATACAGCCTATGGGGAAATGGAAGGTAGAGACAGGAAAATCTTCCAGTAGCTCTTGGGCCAGTTAACTTGGAATATGCTATGCCTCACAAGGAAAAGAGAAATCCTGCCTGAAGAAGGCAAATAAGAGTATCTACTCCCAATAGTTGTCATACTCTGACCTCCACAATCACACCATGGTACAAGCATGCCATGGCACCTGGATGACTGCATTAGCATACACATAGCACACAGGCACACATGCAGTCAAAAACAAAAGGGCAGGTGAGATATGACTCAGCTAGTAAGGGTGCCTGCCACCAAGCCTGACCACCAGCATCCCATCCCCAAGGCTCAGATAACTAACATAAGAAAAGAGACACTTCTAAAACAAGTTGTCCTCTGACCTCCACATGAACACAGTGACACATGTACATCCTAGCACACACAAAATAAGTAAGTAAAAATATAACATTATAGCATGGAAGATTTTGGGGCTTCCTTGTTAATATCATGCTTTCCAGATTCATCCACTTTCTTGCAAATTTCATGTGGCTATAAATGTGTGTAAAGCCTATAAAACTAGAAAGGAGAAAAAGAAATGGTAGAAACAGACATCATGGAAGGATGAAGGTGCACGAAAGCACATAAAGGAGAAGAAACTTGGTACAGGGCAGAATTAGAGGGCAGGGCAGGGTAGTTGAAAAGATGAAAGGAGAAGAAAATCTACTGAAACACATGTTTGAAAATGCTATGGTATCTAATAGCCTGTATGTAAATCTGAAGAAAATTTTAAAACTTAAAAGAAATATTGGGGCTAGAAAGATGACTGAGCAGTCACAAGCACATACTGCCCTTGCAGAGGATCTGAGCTCAGTTCTCAGCATCCACATGGCAGCTCTCAACTGCCTGTAAATCACCTCCATGGGACCCAATGGTTTAGGCCTCCTTGAACCCCACAGGAAGGCAAGTTCAAAACTAGGTCTGGCTATATAACAAGAAATTTCAGATCCATGTCTCTTGCTAATTCTGCTGTTGTTCCTAGACGCACAGTGTATTAATCATCAACTAGATCATTAAAATTATATTACAAAAATTTTAAATTATTAAAAATGATGCCATAAAATATTCTTACCTATGAATCTATGGGATTTTGTTACTAAACCCCTAAGATGATTCTGGGGAATAAGTCAATTCTTATAGTATTTACAAACTATTTTTCCTAAGATAGTCATACTTAGATATAAAGGAAATTACTTTTGAAGTATATGGCCACTTTTCTACCTACTATTCTTAGAGTAGTTACATTAATTCATGCAATGCTGTAATATCATCTAGATTTTAAAATAAATTCATATGAATCGACTGATAATTATGATCTACTATAAAACCAGATTAACATACTGTATAAAAAGGAATCGCTGATGGCATAGCACACTAAAAACTAGAACAAGGGTTGGCAAACTGGGCCAATTCTGGACTAAGCTCTGAGCAAAAAAAAAAATGATTGTACAGCATACTTTAAGTTTTGTAAAAGGGAGAGCAAAAAGAAGTATATGTGACTAGAGACCTTAAATATTCCACAGAGTCAAAAGTATTATCTGACCCTTAACAGTAATACTATAACCAACATTGTCAATATCTTATTTAAAAACAAATAAAGTATTTTTAAGCATGAGAGGAATTTAAGAACACTATAAAATTATAAGTTAAGGTTGTCAATCAAATATCATTAAAATTAAGAAGAGGTGCTCTGCCTTTCACTAGAATGAAAGAAATTGAGTTAAAACTATTTGTAACTGCAAAAATTAATGATTTTTCAAAATCAAATTATAAATGATTTTTTAAAAAGCCAATGAGAATTAAAACTGGTTCCTCCCAAAAGACAGCAGGCCTTAGGAAGGGCATTCTGTAATGTAAAGAGTATAAATAGCCAAGATAAACAGCACATAACTCTCTAATTCCGGTACAACTCATCCCTTATCAGCATTTTTATAATAAAAATAATTGATTCTTGTTATCTGTGATTGCTCTGTTCTATAAAGTAGCTGGGAACCACTGCTCCTGGGGAAAATCCAGGGTTAGCTTCCCATGATTCACTGGTTTTATTTTAATCAATATATAACCTTATTTCACGTTCATTTCTAATTCAAGACATTTTATTTAATATATTTTATTGATTCATTAACACTGACCTCATGGCCAGCAGCACTGTAACTCATGCTTGTATGAAGCTAATCAACATACAAGCAGGAGGAGGTAGCAGGAAAGAAAAGATGAGGAAGAGACAAACATTACCATGTCAACACTAATGAAATTGTATTGGATTACAAGGTATGATCCACATTTTCAGAATCTCAGGAGAGATAATATCTAATACAACAGTTTATGTCATTGAGTGTTAATAATATAGGGATACACAAATGACTGTATAAACCATCAACCTAGACCAAGCCCCTTCTCATCTATTTGGTAGTACAAAGATGACAGATTTCAGAGTCCAATTTGAATGTAAATTATGGCTCAACTCTTTATTCATGATGTGGCGCTGAGAAAGTTAATTCATGTGTCAATGTCCATATGTCTAATGTCACCTATCACAAAGGAACTAACACAGAGAAAATGTTCAGTATATATTAGCTGTTACCACCACCACCATCATCATCATCATCATCATCATCATCATCATCATTGCTGTCATCTTTATTCTCTCCTAGCCCATGGCCACATCTCTAGTCTCATCTAACTCCAGCCAAGTATAATTGCCTCTGTCGAGTCAAGATAATTTTATTGTCAATCAGATCACCATCCTGATTCAAGAACATAAATTGGCTTCCTCTTTCCTAATACACTGCTTATAAATGATAAAACCATTTTTTTAACCTTTCATGTTCTCTGTAATCTATCTCCAATCTATACAGGCAGTCTTTTTTTCTCCCTAACTCTTATCCTGAGCTTTTTATTTCATGTGTCACTGGCATGACCATTTACTTCCCAAGTAGACTATTAACTCCTTAGGGACAGATGGAGTATATACACTTACGTAGGTTTTTTTTTTTTTTTTTTTTTTTTTTTTAGCCAGCAATGACAGGTTTAGCTAGATAGATATAGAGATTCAAGTAGGAAAGATGTGGGCTCAGGAAATCAGTGAGTCAATTGTTTATCATTTACTTTTGGTTGTTTCACAGCCTTTTGGTTTAAATCAAGTGTATCTTTCACTTCTAACGAATTTTGCTCATGAAATCCACCATGACATTTTAAAATGTCAGATCTAATAGCAGCAGCAAATGCTGTGGGCAGGTTAGAACAGTTGCACTGTTGGAGAAAACGGAAGCTGGCCTACATTATAATCTGTCCTCACAGAATTACAACCACAATATTTAGCCTTTTGATCAATACAATTCAGAGAAGTGACTGTGCTTTCTCCTCACTCAAAAGAGAGAGAAATCATATTTCAGACACCTGTGGTAACATGCCTCAGTAGCTGCTGGCACTCTGGAATATAGCTATGCAACAAGTACCTCATGCAAACAGCCAGCTGGTCCTTCAAATGAGATTTGTAAAATTCAATTGTGCTTGCAACATTGCAGGTATAAAATACTTTTAAATATTAGGTTCAGGAACTTAGTGAGTCTATTTCCAGTACCTAATGAGCTGTGACAAGTTGAGATTAGTCATCAAAATACAGGACAGCCATTAGCAGCTTAATAGAATTTCATACTTTACAGTGCCCTGGGGCTAGTTCACTTGTGAAGGTCTAAAAGGCAAAGGTAAAAATGGCACCATCATTGAAGGAACACAAGGCTGTAAAGAAAAATTGGGTTCTAGCTCTAGCTCAGAAACTAATTCACTATGTGACCTTTTGTATATACTATGCCTCAAATTCCCCACATTTGAAAGGAGGTTGCATTACAAAACATCCAGGGTTTCTTCTAATTATGACAATGTATGACAGTAAATGGCAGAGATAATTTTCAAGTATATAATTCTGTAGCAAATAAGCTATTGTCACCCTTTTCCTCAAAAAGAGGGGTCACCAGAAGTAATCACCTTATATTTAATGATGTTGCACTGATGATATCATAAGTTTTACTCACATCAAACATCGAGAATATAGAAATTACAGGGAAGTTTTAATAATTTAGAAATAAAGGTGACTGGTAAAACAGGTACCCTGGAAGGAGGGAGAATGGGGGAGCAGAAAGAAGCCTCAAAGAGGGGAGAATACAAGAGAACAGCAGGGAAGGAAAGGAAATGGACAAATGAGGGAGTAGAGAATCACATGTAACACACTTTATTTAAAAAGACATTATAATATCTAATACTTTGTATGCTAATTTAAAACACTAAATTAAGGGCTAGAGAGATGACTCAATGGTCCAGAAGACCAGGGTTCAATTCCCAGCACAGACATGATACATCAAACCGTATGTGAGCCCAGATTCATGTTCTCTTCTGGCCTCTGTGGGCACTAGACA